TGAGAGTACCCTTGAGTCCTCCAGTACTACTGTTGGGGAGTACCCTTAGGTCCTCAAGCCCTACTATTGGGGGTACCCTTGAGTCCTCCAGTACTACTATTAGGGAGTACCCTTAGGTCCTCAAACCCTACTATTGGGGGGATCTTACGTCCTCCAGTCCTTCTATTGGGGGTACTCTTAGGTACTCAACCCCTACTATCAGTGAGTACCCTTAGGTCCTCCAGTTCTGCCATTGGGGGTACCGTTAGGTCCTCGAGTCCTACTATTGGAGGTACCCTTAGGTCCTCAACCCCTACTATTAGGGGGTAGTCTTAGGTCCTCCAGTTCTACTATTAGCGGGTACTCTTCGGTCCTCCAGTCCTACTCTCGGGGTACGCTCAGGTCCTCAAGCCCTACTATTGGGAGCACCATTGAGTCCTCCATTACTACTATTAGGGAGTACCCTTAGGTCCTCAAGCCCTACTATTAGGGGGTACTCTGAGGTCCTCCAGTTCTACTATTGGGGGTACCCTTAGGTCCTCCAGCACTACTATTGGGTGGTACCCGTAGGTCCTCTAGTCCTACTATTGGCTGGTATCCCAATCCTAGGACTTGAGGACCCAAGGGAATCTCCCAATAGTAGGGCTTGGAAACCTAAGCGTACTCGCAATAGTAAGACTTGCAGACCCAAGTGTACCCCCCTATAGTAGGACTTCAGGACAGAAGGGTCCCTCCCAATTGTAGTACTGGAGGCCTGAAGAGTGCCTCCTAATAGTAGGCCTTCAGGACCCAGGGCTCCCCCGAACAGTAGGACTGGAGGATCTAAGGGTACCCCCTAATAGTAGGACCTGAGGACCTAAGGGTGCCCCTAATACTAGGACTGGAGGACCTAAGAGTACCCTCTATTAGTAGGGCTTGAGGACCTAACTGTATCCCCCAATGGTAGGACTGGAGGACCTAAGGGTACCCCCAAGAGTAGGGCTTGAGGAGCTAAGGGTACCCCAATAGTAGAACTGGAGGACCTAAGGGTATCCCCTGATAGTAGGGCTTGAGGACCTAAGGGTACCCCCCAATAGTAGGGCTTGAGTACCACATGCTGAAAAATATGTAGATGGATGTGTTGACAAATCCGCAACTATTTGGTAGATTTGTGAGAACCGAAAAACAAATCCAAACCCAATGCCAAGTCCAAATCCAAATCCAAACCTAGCATACGAATCCAAATCCAAACCCAATTCCTAAGGGTTTGATGCCGAATCCAAATCTACCTGAAGAATTGTTGCATTCCTAATACTAACATTGAATTATAAACCATTGGACATATATAGGTTCATATTTGTGTCTGCCTATCTCAATCTGACATACAAATTCGATTCAATCAAATTTTAAGTTTCTTTACACTAGCAGAATGGAAAATTCAATTAAGTCAGATTGGTATAGGCACATAAAAATATGAAAATCCTATGTAACACAAAAAGCATCGAATACATCATATAGGTCCATACGAGCAATTAATACATATATTTTGAAGCCGATCATATGACACATCTCTGATTAGTATCACCTAGTATTTGTAGCATAAATAGACGATGAATCTATCCCTATTTAAAGAAAAAATCAAAACATTTTTGCTCTGTTACTTTTTGGCTCAGGCTGTATATATTTATATATTGCCCGAGAAACAAGAGAGCGACTGTTTTTTTCTAGAACTTTCAGTATTGAAAATGTATCAAGCATCTCGTAACGAACAAATAGCCTGTCATATGACTTCATACTTTTAG